AAAACGGTAGGTCTTCCTTATATAAGTTATATAATTATATAATTCAGATTTTTATTTACTTTGTCTGGAGATGTTTCCATATATCTCCGAATTATATCATGTAAATATAAAATAATTAAATGGTACTATATTTAAGAGGCGTCTCATGTTAAATGGTAGCTTTTCCTATTATACTCATGCCCAGTAGCTAGAAGATGAAATAATGAATCTTCTTTAAAGTTTGCATTTGATAGGCTCATAACTTCTTGGCCAAAAAAAAAAAGGGAGATGGGCTTATAACTGATCATATCATTTGGGTGTTGCTTTTTTCTGTAAGAAATAGCTGGTTGGTTGAATACTCATGCTAGTTGGGTTACATTCCTCCTCATTCTCTCCTGTTTATCACTTGAAGAAATGGATCCCAACTGTGTAAGAACAGTGTTCTGTGCTGAAAACAAACGCTGAACCTCATGTGCAATTGTTGACTACAAAAATTGTTGAGGTTTATGAGGTTTCAAAGAGTGTAGTTACTCCACACTTGATCAGGATACAACAAGCTGTGGATCCTTATTATCAGGTATATATTGTGCTACCCAAATCTTATGGTTAGTTTGATCTGCTGATGTATATCTTGATGTGATTTCTAATTGGTGATAGGAAGCTAAAAAGTTATTCAAGCCATACCTTGATAAGGTTGCTGTTGCAGCTAAACCTCATGTTGATAGATTACTAGTGGCTTTGAAGCCCTACACAAAGAAGGCCGTTCATGCTTATGGGAAGTTCTTGGAATCAGCTACTATATATCATAGACAGGTGTCCTGCTTCATCTCTCTTGTTAATATTAATTTTTTCAAATTTCATATCTGGATAACTATTGTGTGTGGTCCTTAAATGGATGGTAATGATTAGGTGTTTCTTTTCATTTCAAATGATTCATTGGTATGATTGTAATTGTCAAACTCTGCCTCTGGGTAGTTTTATTGACTCTTATGTTTGTTGATGACTTGCTGTTCACATTTGTATTGCTAAAGAGAGATCAGAAAGATAATCTTCTATTGCTTGCTATATTGATTTTTTTCCCCCTTTTGTTGTTAAGGTGCAAGCTACTGTCCAGGAGACACTTAAGAAGCATGAACTTACCAGGCCTTTTGCTACACAGGAGTTGGAATGGTTTGCTGTATGTATCTAAGGATTTTATCTTTCCAGAAATAACTGGTGAAATTGATATTATCAATCATTTGGGTGGAATTTTCAGGCATCAGCACTTTTGGCCTTACCTTTTATTTTATTGGCTAGAGTATTCTCTGCCATTTTCTGGTCAGTATGAAATTTCTTTTTCTTAGCTCTTTTGCTGATTCTACTGTTTGTTAATCGCTTTCTGTTTACATTTGTGTATGTTAATGTATTTAGAAGTATTGAACTACTGGTTACAACATTTCTTATTTGTCTGCTGCACTACAGAAGAAGAAAGGCAAAGAAACCAGTTCGAAATGTAAACTCCCACCATCGCCGCCGCAAAGCTAAGCTAGGGCGGCGAGACCAGTAGATGACAGAGGACTTTCTTTGTTTATTTTATTGCGAGTAGTTAGGTATGTCTTTTTAATATTATTTGGGGATAGCGTTTATGAATGTATGTTTAGACTGAAGCCTGATTTCATTGTCTGTTGTGATAATGCCATGCACAAATAAAGCTTGCCTCGTTTCTTTACTGTGTTAATGTCATTGTGTGCATAAAATTGATTTGGAGTCAATTTCATATGATTGACCATTAAGAAAGTGGATCTTATTGCTTTTGCTAGCTAACAAATGTTTTCAAATTCCTCCCTATGTAGTGTGTGAGAACGGCAGCCGGCAGGGTTAGTGCTAGACATATGTATCTCTCATTGAAGAATGGTTAGTGAGTCATGGAACCTGAAAATAAAATGTACCATTTTCTTTAAAAAAAAAAAATCAAAGAGGCTTTCTTTTCCTTACGACTGTTGGAACTTGTCCCCCCCCCCCCCCCCCCCACACACACACACTCTTTCTACACGGTTCAATGGAGTTGTGATAACAATGTTTCTGTTTCCTGCAGATGGTTCTGCCGTTTCACGTTGGCTTCCATTTTCTGCGAACACGACTTGTTAGTAAATTTTACCTTGTAAAGCTGGGAACGATCCATCGCCGCCTGTTTATGAGAAATTTAGAAGTAGAATTAGAGCTAGCTCCACCTGTTGACGATATGTCTGATGGTACTGAAGGGTGGTTTATTGTGGAAAGAAGTTGCTTAATGGCTTATTCTTTGCTCCCTCTTATATGTATACTGACTTAATTATTATTTACTTCTTAATAAATATATTTGTTTCAGTTAAATCTTGATGAGAATTATTTTAAGGTCCGCAAAATACATTTAATGACATTTAAATACTTCAAAGTTTATTGACAATTAAAATGGACCTTGTAATATTTAAATATATTGTCTGGAATTTGTGTGCAATTCTCCCTAGATCTTTAACCCTCCAATTTAGAAACTGTTTAAAATTATTTTTATTTTATTATTTTGAGAGCTAATGTTTTATAAAACATGTTTTGAAAAAAAAAATAAATTATTTTTTTTCATTTTTTCTTGTTTTTCAGAACAACAATATCAGAATATTTAAAAGTTGTTTCTATTTTTTTTTTCCAACATAATATTTTATTTTTTATTCTTCAGAATATTTCTTAAAAATATCTTACCAAATATTTTTTTATTCTTTTATTTTGAAAAACAAAAATTATTCCTAGAATAATTGTCAAATAGGCCCTTAATCCTTTAACTTTCAATGTGCGACGTGGTCACCTATTATGTACTTTTGGTTGGATCCATCCATTAAAGATCATTAGAGAAAAAATTAAAATTTTTTAATGCAATTATCTTATATTTTGTAGTGCTCTTTCAGGGGGAAAAAATCTCTCCTCGCTTCCTCCTTCTAGGAAAAATGAATCTTTTAGAGCACGTTTGGTTCCTCAGGGGGAAAAATCTCTCCCCGCTTCCTCCTTCTAGGAAAAAGAATCTTTTAGAGCACGTTTGGTTCGTGTGAATTTAAGTCAAGGAAAAAAAAAAAGGCGAGTGAAAAAGCTCACTTTTTTTAATTTGGTTGGCATGCATTTAAATTCTTAAACCCCAAATTTTCCTCAACCTAGAATTCAATTTCTTTAGCTATTCCCAAAGAAAATCAGATTTTCCCTGAAAAATATCTCAGCCCCTACTTTATCCTCCACTATCCCCAGATCTAACAAAGTTTCACCTTCACTACATCATCGTCAGCCCGTCTTTGCCGACTCTCATCATTGTCGCTTAACGGGAAAAATAATTTTATTTTTCAACCATGCTAAAATTTAAAAAATAAGTTACAAATTTATCATAATATATTTATAAAATTGAGAAATTGAGTTATAAATTTATAAAATTTAACATTTGAAACCTAACTTAAATTAATTGATCCTTTTAAGATTTCTTTGTCATTCTCCCATTCAAAATAATAGTACCTTTGTAAGTATCAAATACTAGGTACTAAATAATTGTTATTAAAAATAGCCTTAGGGGCATTAAAACTGTGTCATAAAGCCATATGTAATCTTGACCTCACATCCATCCATAATTAGCACCCGGCTTGATATGCACTGAATCCATTTTTATTTTTTTTTTGAGGTAAAATTTTTGTCAATATCTCTCTTAAATTGACACAAATTTTATAATTCTGGAAGATATAGCTTTTCAATACACACACATATCATACCATTAATATGGAATAGTATGCCTGCATGCACGTAGAATAATCCACTAGTACAAATATTGCTATTAATAGATGACTTTTAACATCAGTTTAAAAGCAAATACTGTTGAAAAAGGCATGGTGGCATTCTCGTACATAAGAGGGACTTTCAACAGCGAGTGCCCCTAGGTCCGCTGTTGATAGCGGTTACAAAATTTAAAAAGATTTAAAAATTAGTTAGTATCAATAGCAAATTTTATTATGCCCGCTGTTCATATTAAAGATTACATCGGTTGGTAGCCCTAATCAATGTTGTAAGTCATTTGAAAAAAACCCAAACGTCTTCTTCCTCGTCTCGACGTGAAGGGTCGTGACAGTTCTCTCTTGCCTCTTGCTCCACTCGACGTCACCTCTTTTGCCTCTAGCCATTGTTGTTGAACCTTCCCACCATCACTTATCTCCCACGCGTGGTTACATCTTCTGGGTTGTCTCTTCTCGGCTATTTCATTTTCTTCATGATTCTCTGTTCTCCTCCTCTCAAACTCAGGGCAAGCTCAATCTTCTCTGCTTGTTTTGATTAAATGGCATTTGTTTTTGCTTGTATTTGATTTTGCGCAAATATTTTGAGATTAATCAAATTGAAGTTTTGCTGAACTACTCCTTCCATGTATTTTATTATATTAGAAAAATTTACTTTCTATGAATTAACTGATTTAAATTCCCTTAAAATATGATTGCGCTGATGAGATTGTTGGAATTTTTTTAAGTTGGACTGCTTTTTAGCCTGTTTTATATGTAGGAAACTTAAATTGGACTGCTTGTTTGATAAAAAAAAATTGTTCATTTTGAGTTGGAAAAGCTCAAATTTTAGGGGAGACTTCACCATTTTTTTTTAATTAAAAACTTTGATTGATATGAATTGTTATTGTTTTGAGAGTTCCCACTTTTAAGAGGGACTATGATGAAATTGTTCATTTTGAATAAAGGAAGCCTAAATTTGAGGGGAGACTCCACCATTTTTTAAAAAAAAAATTGAAAACTTTGATTGATGTGAATTGTTGTTGTTTTGGGAGTTCCCACTCTTAAGAGGAACTATGCTGAAATTTATACAAACATATATGTTAAATATTGCATGATAAAGTTAGCTAGGGACTTGTTTTAGCATGTTTTACATGTTATAATCTTTAAAAGATATCTTTCTTCTTCTCGGACTGCATATAGCAATCAAAGTACGTGCACATATCATAAAAAAAATTACTTGCACAAATTACATAAAAGGAAAAAAAATATCATAATTTTGATAGTAGCATTGAATTCAGAAAATTAAGAATTGAAGGTCCTTAAACCAGAACATTATTCAAAAAGTTGCTTGATTCAGAAGGAATACAAGACTTTGCTTGCTGGGTGATACATTGAATTACCCGCACAAGAAACTTAAACAGAACACCAGAGTAAGGAGATCGTTCATGACGGTAGCTGATCCAACTAATTAAAGTTAAATATATTCTTTGCATTATATTCTATATATCTCATAATAATAATAATCTAAAAAGAAGATAACGGCGTTCTATCCTCTTCCTCCTCCTCCTGGTGGTTTATTATTAGTAGGAAGGCCAGTAAGCATCGAGATCCACACAGTGATCCGCCATGCCCACATACCTATGAGTCTGAGGATTGACGATGCTCATCATATCCACACCATAGTCTCCTAAATTGTCTGCAGCGAGAGAAGTACTGATGACAGGTGTCACAATGTTGTTAGAACTCCCCAAATCCTGCAGGTTACTGAATGGTCGCAAATAGGGTTGTGAGGTGGGTGCTTCTCCACCTGTAACTGCATGAAGTCCTGATGATGATGATGAGATACTGAAAGCTCCTGATGATACAGTCAAAGGATAGTTGAAGTGGGATTGCATGGGCAGGTTCAGAGTAGGATTGCTTGGCACAGAATTCATCGTGTAATTGTTATTCCTTCCGTAGAGGAAATGACCTGCTGGATCTCCCAGCTGCATCATCATGTTCATTGGTGGTGGCATATTAATACTTGGACCGCCATGGCCAGCTATGTCCAGGCTATAAGGATTCAGTCCTCTTGCATGGTTGGAAGGGTACTTCTTTACCACGCTCCCACTCTTCTTGAACACTCGGCAGACCACCCATTCATCTTGCTGTACGTTCATGGAAGACGAAATGGAACTTGTGAAAAACCCTAGATTATACAGATAACTGCATCAGTGGGTGTGATATAGATTTATTGATTGATGATGATTACCTTGTTGGATTTAGAGTGAATGCGGTATTCATGCATGACCCAGCTGGTTTTCTCGCCTCTTGGGGCTCTGCCTTTGTAGAAAACCAAAGTTTTCTTCATGCCGAGGAGCTCCGATGTGGCGGTGTTGACGATCTCCTTGTCTTTGCCTGTGGTTTTCCAGTAGCCTGTGTTGGTTGCTCGATTCGTTCTCACACCAGTCGGGTACTTCCGATCTCTCAGACTGAAGAAGTACCATTCTTTCTCTCCCATCTTCGCCTTCCCTATTTCATCCCACAAGGTTAATTTTATATTAATTACTAGGTCATACACACACACGCACACACGAATATTTTCCTCAACAAAAATTATGCTATATAAATGTGTGTGTGTATATGTGTGTGTGTCTCATGCACGACAAGAGAAAGAATATAATATAATGAAAACGAGGAGGGATAAGGGCATCGAGAAGCAGAAACCCTAGTTTGATGTTGTGAAACTTTGAACGGCGATGATCAGAATATATATAAACGAAGTAGAAAAGGAAAATGATTGGCTTTGTTGATGAGTTAAAAGTGAATATGATTTTAATTTGACCAGTAATGAATCTGAATTAAAACATGATGAGAGAGATGTACATATAGTTGCATGAATCTCAAGTATACCTGGGAGATCCCATGGCTCGCATTTGTTTAGATCTACATCAGCAATTGCTCTTCCTGTAAAACTAGAATCAGAGATCTTGTTTATGAGATAGTAAGTGATAAGCTCTTCATCTGAAGGATGGAATCGAAATCCCGGCGGTAGGGTTTCCTCTTTCCCTTCACACCTTTCCATCTCCATCTTCTCCCTCTCCTCTTTGCTGGATTCCTTCCCTTTCTGTACCACACACACAATAACTAACATATCATGATGTATACACTATACTCGCTCCAAATTCTCTCTAAACTTCCAAAAAAGAAAGATGATAAAGAATTAAAGCTAAACGTTTAGCTTTAACCCTGTTGGAAAGACGTGTGTGTGTGTGTGTGTGTGTGTGTGTGTGGGTGAGGGTTAACTTCCCTCGAATAAGAGAATCTACACAATAAGTTGAATTACAGGATGAATCTACCGTTACACTTACTTGCATGGAGAGACAAATTCTCCTTCGATGCTTAATTGTGTGAGGGTGTTGCCTCGTTCACTGGCAAACGAAACACTGACTTGAGAGATACTGCATCAATATGTGTGTGTGTGTGTGTAAATGTATAAAAAAGAGGTCAGGTTGAGCTTTCTTGCCCGCCGCTACCATGCATGACAAGTTAGGGAAATTAAGTTTACAGGCAAATGTTGAAGAAGAGAAAGAAGATTTGGGAACGTATGAGTGTGTTTGTGAAGCTTTCACCAAACGTGGGTCTTCCCCTTCAAGTTGCAAATATACCAGCTGTGTACCCTGAAATTAATAATAGTCTCAAGATATACAGTAATTGGAATCAAAATGACCATCGTGACCTCGTCAAAGACGAAGAATCCACCCATGAAATTCTGAGCCAACGTTCCTAACAGGCAACGCAAGCGAGCGAGCTAGTCATGCACGTGATAGAGTGGGCCACGCCTTTCATCAGATGGTGCCATGTCATCATCAGACGACAAGATCTATGTGGACCCGTAATGGAGAGTGAAGACAATGGAAGAGTCAAAATAGACGATGGATTGGCAAAAAATAACCACCAGCGGGCAACCACTCTCAATATAAAACAATGATATCAAGAAACACCGTCTCGCTTCTTCCTGACCAATTTCCAGGATTCTATGTTCTTGTTTCTTGTTTCCTTCATTTTCGCTATATATATCCATGTTTATATCGTCACTGATTTAAAATCGAGAGAATATAATAATGCTACTTTAAAAAAAAAAACTAATTTTCAACTTTGTCGTCAGTGCATTTCAGCAGCAGTTTGGCTTTTATAATTTTAAAAAATTCTTGACAGATTTGCTTTTAAATTTAATATCCATAAACGATTTTTTTTTTTTGAAAAAAAGGAATGTGCATGTAATGTCAGTTCAAAGTGGAAATGAAATATGGCTGAAAGTTTAATGAAACGTGTTGATTCTAAATGATGTTGCTTTTGGCTGATGAAAAGATCAAGGCAAAGATTAAGTTAATTAGAATTAATGTAAAGATAAAGTGAAGTGGCGAAAAATGAATAAGCGCATATATCGCATGAAATTGATGAAATACGGTCATATAATTTGCTTGTGATAAAAGAGAGAGAAAGCGGGAAGCGAAAATTAGGGAATCTAATAAATCTCCAGCAGTCTGGGGAAAATTTTGGCCTTTGTCCATTATTCGATTTTCTAGATCTCTTCATTTTTAAATTTCTTCGGCTATAGTTTCAAGTCTTTCCTCTTTTTGTTTTGGGTCTTCTTGTCTAATTAGTGGTAACACCTCCTACAAATTAAAGCAACATCTGTCTCTTTAATCTTATCCTGTTTTGGCAGAACTAGGCAACTATATGTAATCTCTCGTTCAATTTCAAATCTTGTCATATAACAATTAATGGAAATTAAATTATCCTTACGTGAGCATATGTAGCAATAATTGTGCATGTATGATATTATAGAATATACTTCCCGTGGTTTTTTTTTTTCCTGCAGAGTGCGAGAAATGAAACAAAAGATAACTAGATATGAAGATCCTGTGATCTGGGTCCAAAAAGATACATGGTGATTTCTTTAAGGAATATTGCTCTACGTACTTCATAATTTCATATAAAATATTCAACCTTGTTACACACACACAGGCACATAGTATATAGACACATATCGCGCGTATACATTTCGTACATTCGAAGTGTGGAATTGCGATTACTCAAGTCAAGTCATCTGCTCCCGTAGGAATGCACTTCGTATACAATTGATAGGGAAATTTGGTTTGATTTTTAGGGATTCTTGTTTAAATAGACGTTCATTAATTAATTGCACATCGTACTCTTCCTTGCCCTGCTATAAGTGTATATGTCTATAAAGTATATGCACGGATGACCCGGGATGCAATAGTCAGTCATTATGTATATTGCCTCTGCAAAAAATTTAAGAGATGATTTCTCATTCCCACAGTGTTCGCGATCAATTGATCGTCGTGTCTCACAATTTCAACCAAACCAACTTGCGTGCAGACACAAGTTATGGAAGTTTGCACTACACCCACACATATAACCCATATATACCCCAGTCTCTCTCTCTCTCCCTCCCCCCCCTCTCTCTCTCTACACACACACATGTATGACATGTATAGCTTATGAGAAACACAAACTTCTTGGATTTGGATTCAGAAAGTGTTCTAAATATATTCACTCAATGAATGTTTTAATTATAATTGTTGAATTTTATTAATATTTAAAAATTATCAAAATATATTTTCTTTTAAAAATTCAAAACGATCAACATGATCAGAATACTCCTTACTTATGTTATCCACTCTAAAAATTTGAAATTTAATCATTTGCTAGTATTATATAACAAAATATTAAATGCGTTCTATCAAATTAAATCATTGTTATAATGCCGCATGAGACACTTAATAAGTTTATTTAGAACACTTACTGAATTCAAATCCAAACTTTTGATAGGTATTTCAAACCAAGAGAAGTCTTGGCATCACAATTCATTATGTATACTTTTCTCCTATTGTTTTTTTCAAGACTAGTTTACAATAAAAGTGTCCTTTATTGCATGTACAAACGCTTGTGTGTGATTCTTTTGTTCAAGATATCAGTTCGTATATACTTGTCTTCTAATTGCTGATTTATAGTGCCAACGCGTACCATTTCTCCAAATTAATATATGTGTCAAACTATATCAGGTTCCTTAATATCGTTATAGCTTGTTAACCAATTCTCACAAATTATATCTCGTATCAATTCCTATAATGGAATTGCAGAGAACATTGTTCCCGGTGCATGTTGCCTGTATAATTGTACAGCTAGCAGGTATAATTGATTAGCTTGCAATGCTGATAATCATTTTTTTTTTTAACTATGATCAAAAGATGGTGCATGTTGCCAGTATATGTAGAGGCAAGCACAAGTCAGCCTGGTGTGTCTTTATATTTTCACTTAATACAATTAATATGGCCAAAACTTATCATATATATATGTATTTCTTTGCTAAAGCACGTTTAATTAATTTGAGATGAAGAACTGATCTTGCCTTCAGTGTGAAAGCCGGATTTACGTGTTTGAATATTAATTGCCGGGATAATGAATTAGACTCCAAGTCCTTTAAATTTTGATGGTTTTTTCAAAGGTTAGTTATGATATGGGGAAGATTCATGGGTTTGGGTTTCAATTGTTAAGTAATATAACTAAGCCTCGCGTTTGAGGACAAATTAAAGACAATCCACAGCTTTTTCTTGTCTTACACTTCAAATAATTAAATTTCAAGTGTCTCAATCATGTTTACCTGTTCTGAAAACACATATCAGATCTATAAATTAATCTTTACATTGAAGCTGTTAGTTCACAAGTTAATTGGTGAATTGCGAGGGTGCTTCGTGAATGAGTGACACTACGCAATTTGACGAAAATGATGCAAAGGGAATTAGGCAAGTCTTACCCGGCAAAATGTCACTCAAGCATAATTATGATCAGGACATTAATAGATGTCCAATCAACCTAGCATTATAAACAGTTTTGCCACAAAATAATGGGCATGTTTGAATTAACTGCGAAACGAAATGGAATTCTGAGGAAAATCGTCACTGTTTTACAACAATGAAAGCTTAGAACATATACATATATATAAAGAGCTGAGGCGCATTAAAGAGAAGATAATTAGTTAATGTTTACGTACAGAAATACAACCTAGCAATATGGAAAAATAGTAAGAAGAAATCAGGGTTAGGTCACGGTGATCTACCCAAAATCTAGCACTTTACGTGTGTCCGAATTTGTAGGCTCGTGTGGGAACTAGCACGCATGGTCATGCATATATATGGGATGTTAACTTGTACTTTGCTGAAAAAGAAAAAGAAAACATGCTTGAAGTGTGTGTGTCTCAGTCACAGCTTGCACGTGCAAGCAAGCTAATTACTGAAACGTCCTACTGATGGACCATGTAAACAAGAGGGTCGATAAATTAAACAATAAGATTGCTAAAAGATCAGAACATTAACAAAAATCAAAGATATACTTATGTTGCTGCCATCCATATTCCGGCATATACATTAAAGTATTTTATTATTTATTCAGAAAGCTCGTTATTATTCTTTATGGTGAACTTAAAGCAGGCTGAATTTGTATAGTGAAATTAAATTAAAGCTGGTAAGTCCCCATCTATCGTTCTCCAGGTAGCTATATAAACCCAACAACTGCTTCTTTCGTGGCTACACTACATTGACGCAAGCAACATTATTATATATATAATTTATATGCGCAGCAAGAAAGCTATTTGGATTAACCTAGACTGGCCAGGCTTGACTTGTTTTACGTGAAAAAGCATGCCGTCCTTGTTCATTTTTCTTTAATAGATCATAAGGAAATATATATACATATGTATACTTTCGATCCTTATTATAAAACATTTTTAACTATTTCATGCATATTAAAAAAATTAATTTTTTTCTTGATATCATAAAAAAATAAAATATACTTTCATTTTTACATCTGACTTTAAATAATAATATAACTACATTAAATATCTCATGCTAATCAAGAAGGGATAAAATTAAAAAAATAATTTAATTATTATAAAGTATCCTATATTTTAGACTAAAAATTACTTTTAAAAGATGTCTTATAAATAAGACAGGAGAAAATATATAACCACGAATGATCTTTCTTTAATTTGCAACCTCTCCCAAAAAAAAATAATTATACGTATTCAATTAGAGTAAGAAATGAAATTTAATAACCACTGTGCATAAATAATGTAAATAGCATTTGGATGGGTGGATTTAAATTTAAATTTTAGATTTAAAATCTCACATTTCAAGTCTATATATTTAAAATTCTTTGTTTGGATAGTTTAATAAATTTCAAATGAAGAAAAGAGATGAACTGTGATTTAAAAATGACAAGTTTGTTTATAATTTTTAACTGAAAAGAGATGAAAAAAATATTCCAGAGTTGTAGAGGTATTAATAATAAAAATGTGAAAAGAATAAGATATTTTAAGTGATTAAAATTTTAAATAACTATTATGTAAATCGAGAAAATTTGAAATTATAAAAAAATTATAATTTAAAATAGATTTGAATTTAAATTCATAAATTTTTGTGTATTTAAATAAGAGATTTAGTTCAAATCCAAATTTAAATACTCATAATTATACCCTGATATATATGTTGATCACGGTTGAAATTCATTGCTTTCTTATGGTACACTTCAAATAAGTATATATTATAATTAAACTGTAACCTCTCTGACCTGATATCCGGGGAAAATATCAGCTAGAAGCTGAAAAGATTTGAATCTTTGGGGCGCTTCACGAGGCTATGTTGGTTTCACAATAATGTTGCACACAACTTTGGAGGGAATATATATGTAATTAAACGGATGGCTGAAATTACTTAATTAATTAATTATATACATACGATCACCTCCATAGAATTAATAAAGATGTTAATTAATTAATTAGTGCGTGGCACTGGAGAAGGTCTGAATTCAAACTAATTATATATCCCCCCATCGTATTTTCTCTTCTAGACGCTAGGGTTTTTGGCCAGCATCATCCTCTTCAAGACAATTTCCAAATCCAGCCATCATCGGTGCCACTTAAGTCAATTTTTCTTATTCAATGTATTGAAAGGATCGATCTTATATGTCACCATCGTATTCGATGAATGAAGATTAATTAGTGTTGTTATATGACCAGGACTCATAAATCAATTTGTCTACTCATTAATTCATTATTTGGACAACAGATTAAATATCATAACATTCTATTATCTATTCTCATATCATATATATGTTCGCTTATTTATAAATCCTGGACAACTTGTCAACGCTTATATATGGACATATAATTGACGAGCATTCGTCACGAATTAAGAAGAATCCTAGTCCAAAATGAGCCCTTTGATGTTCTTTGTTATGCTATTTGTCAAATACTTCCAAATAAAATAATGAGGACTGCAATTATCTATACGTTTCTTAATTAATATATGAACTAATTAAATGATCTTGCTAACCTTTTTTTTTTTTTTTTTGAGTGCTCGTTGGCTGAAGTAGTCAGAATATTTAGGGTGCACGGAAAGCAGCGGGGGCAATAATAGAGAAGAATCAAAGTGTGTGCATATGCGCGCGCGCGAGCAGTTTCCCACGTGCTGCATTGCAAGAAATTGTTTGATTATTCTTTCTTTTCATTAAATCCAATCTGTTCTAGAATTTGTTCATTCTATGTTATATCGCTGCGGGCTTTTGATTTAATCTCTAGCATCATTTCTTGTACGAATATATTGATGAGAAACTTGTATATACGTGTTAGGTTGGACTTGGAACGAAAATAACAAAGATTGTTCGCTTGCCAACAGGACCATCTATTCTCACAGTTCGTACGGCAGAAGCTCGACATCTTTTGCTTCACCTTAACGATGATAATTAATACCTCCTTTGGTTTTTTATAATAGAATGAAATTTTTGAAGAATGAAGTTAAAATAAACTTTCGACAAAAAAAAAAAGAAGTTATAATAAACTGATTTTTCAGATAAAAATATTAGTGTTATGTTAAAAAAAATATATAATCATTAATGAGTATTAATGATAAGAATATAATAGAAATTATATAGCTAAAAATTGTATTCCATTTATAATGGTTTTTGCTTGAACATATACTCATAGATGATATGATCTGGTTAAATTTTATATTTTTATTAAATATTGGTATCAATAAAGTGTTCTATTGTTAATAAATATACTTAAATTTATAGATAATTAAATAAAACTTTTGTTGATGAAGAGTTAACATCAGGTGAATTAAAAAATATTTGTGATATTCAGTCTGCGACGGAAGGTTTACGTTATGGCTGCGACCGGCCAGGAAGCCCGAAGAAGGAAAATCTTGGAACGGGGATCCGACCGGTTAGCCCTGATAACGGGTCGGATCCACGATATTCAGCCTCCTCCGCCATCGTCCCACCTCCAACCTTCCGGTGCTGATGCGGATTCATTATCCCAGCCGTTAATTGCAGACGATCAAGCCATTCGACCTCACATCTCCCATCCAAACACCACTGGTACATTTCTTCTTTCTCCATATTTGCTTTCAGTGAAAATATATTCTTTGGCGGCAGATATTCTTTTAAGTTAAATGCGAATAGATTGGTCATTTATCAACTCATTATTGTAATTGGTGTGTTTTTTTTTTTTCCAGTTGGAACCTGCTGGTATTTGGACTTTGGAGTGTTCATTGACGGTAGATATGTAACTCGTTAAGTAGTGCTCTGTGCACCTGCGATAAGGGGGGGACACACTCTGTGCTTTGCTCTTTCGTCAGCTGAATTTTAATAGGAGGTTTGGTTTTTCAAATTTTGATCTTAATATTTCACTTCTCTCGAACAGGTGCGGTGGTCTCCCTTTTATTGAAAAACCACCATGGCAAGATAACAGAAAGAATTGCAATCTATGGTTGGAGTCTTAAGTCTCGAGAAAGAAAAATTATTCAGAAAGGGTGGGTCACCGCCCATATACGTACATACTCACTCTGCTTCAGCGGCACAGAACTAGGATGCTGTTATTCTGGGTTATATTACCTAAGAATGTAAATGTTCTGCAACCGTGATCGACCTTCACCACACAGCTGTCCCTTGACAATCCAATGAATTTTTATGCACCTATAAGAGTATCTGTTCTGGAAGGAATATAACCATTTGGTGTCACTGAGACTAGTATCATAACTCATGATTAAATCCTCTAGCAGCCCTCCCTTGCTATATAGACGCTGGGCTCTACCATAAAAGCAAGGCTGTCTAGAAACTCTATTGTTAAGCAGGACAATGAGTGGACAAACTATTGAGGTAGAGTAGAAGCTGCATTTTATTTTTGCACGGTGGGGAAATGAGATGTAAGATGACGACAAACTAGGTTCCTTGATTTTAATCTTGCGCCCGAGTAACCACTTGTTAATATCTCATTATATCTGAACTTTGGATTGTCAAGGGTTGTAAAACTTCGTCATTTAACTGTTAGCTAATATTTCCTGTCTCTCAGCTGTAAACTGGAAATGCAGAACTTCTGTCACTACTTTCACTGATCAGTTATTTCTATGGGCAGTTTCTCCTCAAGGTGAGGCAGAGGAGTCGGATCCAATCTTGCTAAAAGCTGATCCTGGTGCTGATTCCTACCACTCTAATGCTTAGAGCAGCAGCAGCCAGTCGCGTCTGCATGAGTCTGAGCATCAAAATGGAATTTCAAGCGTACCTAATTCTGTAGTTGAACAAGTGCAACCGCTTCCTGGTTCATCTGTGTTTACGTCAGAAGCTGATCAAGTGCCACCTCTTCCTGATTCATCTGTTACTTCAGGAACTCAGCAACAGTTACAGTTGCAGTCATGGGACCCTAAATTTTTCACCCACGCAAAATAAGTTCTGCCATCACTGCATCAAGGATTACCCACCTTTGTTGTTCTATTGTTGTAGCCGTGCTAGTAATTTTATCTTATCTAGGATTTCCTTTGCTAGATAGCAAATATGTGAAGAGTATACAAAGCTTTAGGCCACTCTACTTGGTTTTGCTGACAACCGTAACAGTTGTGGTTGCGCAACTTCTTACCGGTAAACAAACAGTTTCTGAAAGGGCTGCGGCTAGACAAAATGAAACTTGTGACGGAGATCAATGGATTGGACATCTTAGTAGAGCATTGGAAGCAGGGTTCGTGATGCGAAATGTGATGGATGCTTTGTTCATGGATTGTGCTTCTTATGCTGTGCTTCTTATGCAATCATTGTCATATGCGGCCTCTCCCTCGTGCCGTTGTTTGGCAAGTAATTCCATTTTGTCTGCCCCAGGTTGTTTCCTTTCCATTTGTTTGTCCTTTCTGGTTAGTTCACTAATAGGTGGATCGGCCTTACGCACATGACCGACGTCTGGTTAACTTTGGCAAACATTTGGATATCCATTGCAGGCACTGTTCATGGACTTGTTTTCCTGTACTAGATAAACTTTTGCTGAATAGAAGAGGCTCACATTTTTTAACACCCAAAATTGGAAAAATAAATTATATGTAGGGTTATGATCCACGAAGAAAAAAGTATGTTCTATGAAATTTAGTTCCATTTGGGGATAATCCAAGGTGACCTCGGAAATTATAATCCAAATTAGGAAGTTCCTTCTGAAATCATACATTGGCTTTCTATCTTATGGTTACTTCTCATCGATTTAATACTCCTAGAAGAGGAGACGCCATTAAAACTGAAACTTACAGCCGAACGCAAAGCTCCATCTGTGTGCTCCAGTTCATATTCCATCACGTCATTACTTCTGTTTTGCTGCAGAGCCAGCACGTCGAGGATCCAGAAGATCTCTTTTGAGAAGGGCTTTGAATCATCGCCTGATACAAACTCTTCAACCACATTGCCAACCTCAATCAAACTGCATCCTGGAGTTTTCTTAATTCTCTTGCTTCGTATGAATTTCCTAATGCTAGACACATCTTCCCACTTTCCAAGCTCCGCATACATGTTAGCAAGCAAAACATAACTCCCAGATTCATCTGGTTCAAGCTCCAGAAGGTGCTCCATTGCAATAATAGCGATATCAAGATTGTGATGAATCCTGCAAGAGCTTAGAAGAGAGTTCCATATCCTCGAATCTGGCTTTACTGGCATCTTCATTATCGTGTCTAGAGCCTGAGCAAGGCGTCCCGAGCGTCCTAGAAGATCAATTAAGCAACCATAGTGCTCTACCTCTGGCTCTATACGGTAATCCTCTCTCATTGAATCGAAACATTTCAATCCCTCTTTCCATAATCCTGCATGTGTACAGGCTGTTAAGACTCCTAGAAAAGTTATTGCATTTGGAACCACTTGTGCTTTCTCCATATCTCTGAAGAGTTCGAGTGCTTCATGAGCTTTACCATTATTGGCCAGTCCTCCAATCATGGTGCTCCAAGAAATCACATCCCGCTCAACTAATTGATCAAACAAGTTCCGAGCTTGATCAACACAACCACACTTGTTGTACATTTCAATTAGTGCGTTGCAAATGCTAGTCTTCTTGGAAAACTCATTCTTATCAGAGTACATGTGTATCCATTTCCCAACCTCAAGAGCTCCTAGATGTGCACAGGCAGGTAAAGCAGAGACGATACTGATCTCATCTGGTTCAATACCAACCATCTGCATTCCGCGAAAAAATTTTAATGCATGAGAATAGCAGCCAACTCTAGCGTACCCAGTAATCATTGTTGTCCAAGAAACAATTGTTCTACAAGGCATTTCGTCAAACAGAGCTTTTGCACTCTCCATCTGGCCCAATCGTGCGTGTCCATAGATTAAGCTATTCCAGGAAATTGCATCTCGGTCAGTCATTAGCTGGAACACTTTGTATGCATTAGTCAAATCATCACATTTCGTATACATATCTATCATTGCGTTCTCCGTTATACAAAGGGAATCGGTCCCAAACTTACATAGCTGCGCGTGTATTTGCTGGCCAAGACAATGACATAAAAGACCTGCACATGACTTTATCAAAAATGGGAATGTGAATCTATCTGGCGAAATAGGATTTTCTGCTAATTTCCGTGGATGTCTCATCATTTGCTTGAACATACTGATTGCGAGTCTATATTGGTGGTTGTGGGAGTAGGCTCTGATGATCGCGTTGTAGGAAAACACGTTTGGCGCAGCTAGTTGTTGGAAAAGCAGGGCAGCGTAATCTGTATCGCCACAATTGTCGCATACATCTAACATTTTTGTCACCAAGAAGTTGCTCTGTGATAACGATAGCTTGACGATGCAAGCATGGATTTTCTTCAGCTGCACTATTTTTATACAGTTGCTCAAAGCAGGGACGAAATGATTTTCCATTTCTCTAAGAACATGATTTCTAGTTGCCGTTCCCATCAGTGACTTTGTGCGTGAAACTTCCATTAACTTCTGCTATAAAGTAATTTTTGATCTTCTGCCATTGATGAATGAGCGACAACTATTAACAGGGCTCCTGAAGAGGTGTGCGAAGAACTATTTGATTGACCAGGGAAAGCAAGTACACGGGTTAGTAGCAGTGTTAGGATTTGCGCGTGATTTGGTGGTAAACAATGATCTCATTGACATGTACGCGAAATGCCGCAGGATGAACCTTGCTCGTTCTGTGTTCGATCAAATGCCTGACAGAAATGTGGTCTCTTGGACGGCTCTGATGTGCGGCTATTTGCATGATGGTGATGCGAAAACTTCATTATCTTTATTCTCTAAAATGGGCCAGTCGGCTGTTGAGCCAAATGAGTTCACACTATCCACCAATCTAAAAGCTTCGGGGATTTTGGGTATTGCTGAGAATGGAACGCAGATTCATGGGGTTTGTGCAAAATCTGGCTTTGAATGGCTGCCTGTTGTGGCCAATTCTATAATTGATATGTACTCAAAATGTGACAGGATTAGCGAGGCAGCAAGAATGTTTAAAGTTATGCCAGTAAAAAATCTTATAAGCTGGAATGCAATGATTGCTGGATACACCCTCAAAAGACATGGTGAAGAGGCTTTAAATCTATTTCGGAAAATGAAAGAGAGAGGTGAAATTCCTGATGAATATACTTATTCAAGTATATTAAAGGCGTGTAATTGTCTTGGTGCAGTAAGAGAAGGCACCCAAATACATGCTTCGTTAGTCATTCAAGGATTCCCATATTTGGTTCAATCAACTGTTTCAGGTGCTCTCATTGATTTGTATGTCAAATGCATGTGTATAGTTGAAGCTAGGAGGGTATTTGATCGAATTGAACCAAAGAATGTGATATCTTGGAATTCACTGATTCTTGGATATGCACAAGAAGACAATTTGCCAGAAGCCATGGACTTCTTTCAGCAGCTGAGGGAAAGGAAACATCAAGTGGATGGGTTTGTACTTTCAAGCCTCATAGGCATATTTGCCGATCTTGCCCTTGTTGAGCTGGGGAAGCAAATGCATGCTTATACCATTAAACTTCCCTTTGGTTTAGAAATATCAGTGGCTAATTCAATTTTAGATATGTACATGAAATGTGGATTAACAGATGAGGCGGATGCACTATTCAGAGAGATGCCAGCAAGAAATGTGGTTTCCTGGACAATCATGATCACTGGCTATGGAAAACATGGTATTGGAAAGAAGGCAGTTGATCTTTTCAATCAAATGCAGGCAGATGGAATCGAACCAGACAGTGTAACTTACTTGGCTGTACTCTCAGCTTGTAGCCATTCTGGACTTATTGAAGAAGGTCAAGAATCCTTCTCTAGATTCTGTAGGAATCAGCAGAGCAAACCACAAGTGGAGCATTATGCTTGCGTGGTTGATATGCTTGGAAGAGCTGGACGCCTAAAGGAAGCAAGGGATCTTATAGAGAAAATGCCGCTGAAGCCAAATGTGGGTATATGGCAGACACTACTTAGTGCTTGTAGAGTGCATTGGGACGTGGAGATGGGGAAAGAAGTGGGAGAGATACTGTCGAAATTAGATAGCAACAATCCAGTCAACTACGTGATGATGTCAAACATTTACGCTAATGCAGGTTATTGGAAAGAGAGTGAGAAAATAAGATATATGGTGAAGAGAAAGGGATTAAAGAAAGAGGCAGGGCGTAGCTGGGTAGAGATAGACAAAGAAGTCCACTTCTTTTACAATGGAGACGAAACTCATCCACTTACAGAGAAAATCCAGGAGGTGTTGAAAGAAATGGAGAAGAGGATGAAAGAAGAAATTGGTTATGTTCATAACATAAATTTTGCATTGCATGATGTTGAAGAGGAGTCGAAGGCGGAGAGCTTAAGGTTTCATTGCGAGAAATTGGCAATTGGTTTGGCTTTGTTAAGTGATGGTTCCAAAGATGGAAAAAGGATTATTCGCATTTTCAAAAATTTGAGAGTTTGTGGTGACTGCCATACGTTCATCAAAGGTCTGTCAAAGCTTCTGAAGATTGTGCTAGTCGTGAGAGATGCAAACAGATTCCACAGATTTGAGAATGGCTTGTGTTCTTGTGGGGATTATTGGTGATGCCAAATCATTGACTCCTTAAATACACGAGAAAGTTTCTTTTTCTTTTTCGTTTTTTTACTTGCATCCGAAAAGAAATAATTGAAAAGGGCAGCCTCAAATAACTTCAGACGGAGATATTTAATTTTTTTTTCTTCAAGTTATTCCTTTCGGTTAATGTATTTCTGGAATTAATTTTAATTATGAGTGGATTCTGTTGCACGTTAATAAAGGATGAATTGGAGAGACATGATAATGAAGTGAACTTGGAGAACAGAAAAGGGAGATGAGTCAATCCTATTATTGAATTTATTTATAAAGCGACCGCAGATACAAATCCTATACCATCTAGGATCTAGCCGTTATAAACATTTTTAAAACATTTCCCTTTTGGGTTAAAAATTGTAGCCAGATCAGCCGAACTTTACAAAACCAACAAGACAGACTGCATTTTAAAACACCAGGGCATATCAACTTCGATTTTCTCAAGTAGGATTCCTAAAGAAGGGATGATCAAGGGCTTGGCGAGCTGTTAGACGGTCAGACGGATCATAGGCCAGTAAACCATGTAACAGGTCAGTCAAAGAGGATCTTGACGAGTCCACTTGTCGTGCTACAAGTCCCTGCATAAAGCATTATTATATGGGTTTATGGTCAACTCAAGAAGAATATCGAATATACCGCAGAGCACGACCTCAAATAAAACCAACCGACATGCGGCACAAAAAACGGGAATATACCTTAAGATGATCAAGCTTCCTCACTGCTCGAATACTTTCCCTTGAAATAGCCCCTTCAGGCCAATTTAGTCGTGTCCCATGCCTAAAATACTTTTCAGCACCCCGGCTGCACAGTGCCAAGCAGATGAGAAAATGAGTTTGTAGCTACATGCTCTAAATTTTAATTAAACAGAGCTATTGCCTATTGAACCATTTGATGATTCATAACTTCCAGGAAAAACCAACTTTTGAAGTACAGTGAATCAATTAGCCTACTAGGGGAGAGATTCTTACTTAGACCTTCGAGCCATATGCTCAGGGAGAGGCCCCAGCACTCTCTCCATCATTGCCAAGTGCTCTAAGTTATCGTGCGTCTGAAACAGTGCTTTGCCCTGGCAAAAGTTGCACATACAAACCTCTAAGACGACATGCTCAAGAATCAATTAAAACATGTTTAATATATCATGACAGAAGTAACACCAACCGAAATAAGTTCAACAAGAATACATCCGACACTCCACAAATCACATGGGTATGACCATCCTAGACCTGAAAATATCATGTCAAGTGCAGGTGAGAAAACAATAACAAGCATAATTACATGTTAGTTGCTAAACTTCATAGCCTTGATCTAATCCAAGTGAAGCAGCCAAGGAAATAGCCATACTTCACACTCCCAAACGGCTTCATTTCATCTTACTGCCATCAAAGGGAATTCAAGCCAGAAAGATAAACAGTTTTGGATCCTAATGGATAGTAAACAGAAGTAATACTGCATATACTTGAGAAGCATTACTTGATATAATCTTCAACTAACAAAAGATAAAATGAGGGCCAAAAAATATAAAATTACAAGGAAAGTAATTCCATGATAAATAAGAAGGCTGCGGACATGCCAATATATTTTAAGCAAAGTGTTATCCATCACTGTACAAAGGGCTTAGAACTGCCAGTGAAGGAAACATCGGAAACTGAAGAACTACATGATGATAAAAAGCAGTAATCGACAAGCAATCCAGTGAATTCTGTGCAGCTGCCGGCCATTAATAACATTTTTCAAGGGGTCTAAACTTTTCCCCTTACCAATGTCAAACCCCCAAAATGTTTTCTGTGTTGGACTCTGAAGGACAACAGACAAACACAAGCAATAAAAGTAACAATTTCTTGTTAGCCAAACCGTAGTTACCTAGAATAATCTCAGGGGCTCGGTAATGCCTTGTACAAACAATGGAGCTATGGTCCTGATTATCAAATGCAGTACTACCAAAATCAATCAGCTTAATAGCACTAGACTTGGGCAAGCACCTGAATTGCATTTCTTCTGAGGGAATCCTCTGTACCATTCCAAGAATTTTCCTTAAATATATTAAAATAGAGTCTACGCCCATATCCAAAATGTCAATTTTTGTGACATAAATGCTAAATACCTTACAGCTAGGGATCTTTACGAATTCAGGAGAAACCAGAAGTATATTTTCTGGCTTCAGGTCAGTGTGGATTAGGCGTAGGTCATGCATATCTGTATATGATAAATCACCCAAAAAAAAAAATCAAAGTAAAGAAATGGATCCAATATATGTTGTATCCCTGGACAGACGAAGCAGGCCAAAGGAAAAAATTGGTTGATTTGTTAAGTAAGAATAAAACATGAGATAAAATGAAGAGCAAAAATAATCCACAGACATGCTACAGATTCCAAAAGCTGTCGTCCAAATTCCCGAACAAGATCCACGGGGAATGGGCAGTATTTATTTCTCTTAAGAAAATCAAATAAGCTTGGTCCAAGCTTCTCAAATACCTGGTAACACCATCAAAATGAATTGAAAGGAAGGATTCTGCTTAGTTCCCAGATCCATGAATAAAGCCCACATTGACATATACATAACGACACACTACATCTGAACTAAAAAAAGCCATTCACTTGTAACACAAATGGAAACAACCCATGCATCTATCTTATAGGCATGCAAATACAACACAACACTCAATAGGTCATATAGCAGTGATGGGGGAACTAATCCAATCCATTACATAACGCAAAAACTAAATCTACTGAGAAACACAATAACATGTATGGAAAGTATTTTGTGGAAAGAAATGCAATAAGCATACTTACAATACATATATGATTCCGGTAATCAAACCAGTTCCGAATATGTACACAGCTGCAATGAGGGATGGACGGAGTAAATACCCAGAAAACATCTAATCAAATTCTAGCACCCATTTGCATCCAGATCTTTTACCGTGAACTGCCTTTCTCATTCTTGGCTAGACGTTGAAGTACATCAACCTCAATCATTGCTGCATCACGGTACTTTGGTATGCTTCTAACTACTTTGATGGCGACATATTCTCTTGTTTGGCGGTCCCAACATTCCAAAACTCGACCGAATGTGCCTACAGCACTAGCAATATGCCGAGTGACACAAGCAATCAAAAAAAATAAAATCTGATATTCAGATGCACTTGACCGCTAACCTTCACCCATCTTGCTGAGGATTTTATCTGTTAGATATCAAAGAGACAGTGAGAAATATTTCTCCAGAGAAAATCAGGAAATAACAACAGCAAAAGGCTCACATAATATAGCACCATGGCACACAAAAGAAAAAACCTGATGGTCAGGTTTTGCATTTTTTCAACATGAGTGAATAGACTGACATGTCGAATGTAAATACTAAGACCAACTGAGTAACAAGTCACGTGACTCAAGCACGGTTGAACGAGGAGCTAAAGTGGGAATGAATTAAAAACTACCGAAATAGGAGTCTTTCAATATATTTACTTACTAAGGAAAATAAAGAAACTTTAAACGTAAGACCGAACACACAAGGGCCAGGACCCAAAAATTACATATAAAAATATTAACAGAGCCGTGCACAACAGAACAGAACATTCAATAAGATAGAAATATTTATACATAGAAAGCAGATAGATACATGCACAATTGTGTAGCTTTCCCAAAAACAATGGCAGGCTTGAATATGACTAAAATATAAATCGTTCGCCAGTCTAAAACCACGTATATCAATCAAGAATCAAAATAAGACATAAAAGTAAATAAATTACGATAAACTTACATCTAGGAGTAAGATTTTCGCCAAGATTGAAAACGTAATGGCCTTCACGATCATCGTCCCTTCTTGGAGGCGATGCATGCCTATCTTGAAACACTCCATCACCCACCACGAGAGCCCTTTGCGCCTACAAGATGTAGCAACGGAGAACCATCCCAACTCCTTGTCAGATTTCATCAATTAGTGGTACCCATATTTCTTTCCGAAAACCCTAAAACCTAATCAGGAAATCCAAGCATAACAATGAAGCAACCTCGGTCTCAGAAGACGGGGCATTGTCCCACATTAGACGAGGCCGTTTCCGGGTTCGTTCCCTTTCCATATTTTTTACTTCCGTAGCTACCATGGACAGAATTAAAACCTCCCTTCCGGGGTATATCTGGGTTTCGTTACAATGCCGCCAAAGAGTATCCTACCAAAAAAATTCTCATAAAACAAGTTAGGACTGAAATAGGGTCTTCGAGCTCTTCGATTTAAAGTTCGAGGCTGGGAATCTTCGAGCCTAGGGTTCCGACAACGCCGGGACCAGACCGTGGAACCACGAGGTCGGAGTTTCGGGCGAATCTTGCTGATTATAGTGTTTCGCGCTCTTATCTATGGTGATTATATTTTGTCATATCGAAATTAAAGAAAAAAATCATGAATAATAATAATAATAATGTAACCTATGCTCATGAAAGATAATCTATCAACAAATACTTTAACACTAGATTGTTATTAAAATGTATTAAAATAATTAAAAAATTTAAAAATTACAAGTTGGCATCTAAAATCTCAAACATTGTAAAAATATTTTTTAAAAAATTAAATGTTTAAAAATATAAGTCTTTTAAAATATAGTTATTATTTTTTTTAAATTATCCCTATTGATGAATAATTTTATATTTATTATAAAATATTTAATAAAGATAAATATAAAAAAATAAAGTTAGTTTAAAAATAAATAATTACTTTATTAGAGATAAAATTTTATTAAAAATATTTTATATTTTCTAACGAAAGAAATATAAAAATTTTTATACTAATAAAATTTAAAATGGTAATTTAAAAAAAATAATAGTAATCATCATTTTAATATTCTAAGCTAAACGTTTTATTGGCCAAAACAAAGCAATTAGTTTTGCTGGGAGTTCATACTATTCGAATTTGAATGGTCAAAATTTAAAATTCTTTATTTTTTATATTTTTAAAAAAATTATTTAATGGATGTAAAATTTAAAATAAAACTAATTTTTTAATTGTCAATTTTTGAAAAATATTTTTTATTTAAAAATATTAATTAAAAAAATATAAATATAAACAATAAAAATTAGACGGTCCAAGCGTGATGACTGATGAGAAGTAAGACTCTTTTCTCTCCTAAAACAATCAAAGATCAGATGAAAACCAGAAGCAGCGCCCACCATCATAGCATATAATATAATAAGAATCGAAGATCCTTTCAGGTTGCATTGGGGTGCTTTCTCTTTTGACTCTTTTATCCACTCCAATTGTAGCGTGCCATCCACACCAATCCTATCGTATCACTCTCGTCTCATCTTTCTCTTGTTAATGATTTTATCATTCATCGCTTTAATTCCGCAGAGATAACATGCAGACTCTGCAATAAAAGGCCTCTGAATGGAGCGGTGTTCTCACATCCAATGCTTTTGCCATTGATGACTCCGATCTCTTTGACAAGCTCGGTTTGCAGCCTTTTGTTAACCTCTCTACTAGTTTCTACAACAGGTATTAATCTTGTACAAAGAACTATTAATTGGATCGATCTGCATGCATGAGCTTTGTGCTGTTCATTTAATTTGAATTCTTATGTGCAAGGAGTGCTTTGTGTTGAAACCAGAGTGTACGACGATGAGGAAGAGTGGTTTCGTTTAATATTCGCCAAGTCTAAGAAAGAAGACGCTATTTAAAACCAGTACAAGTTTCTTGTCCAGAGAATGGGAGGTCCCCCTCTTTACTCGCAAAGAAGAGATCCACTTCTGTTTGTCTTTGAATTCATATTGTTTTGTAATAATCAAGATCATTTTTTCGAACACATGTCATCTATATCAGAGAGCAATTCTATCGGTCTCAGGGAGTGAAAGATAAGGATGAAGGGTTATAAAAAAGTTATCAATTAAAGCCTGCCCAACCTTAAAAGATTGATCTTTAAAGGTTAGAGTCTAAATGAACTAATTTTATTAAATCCAATTATATTTTAGGGTTTTATTTTGGCCAGCCTGGCTAATATTTTTTTATTTTTAAATTTAAAAACCTAAAAAATATATTTAAAATTATAAAAAAGTTATTACACATAACATTAAGTCTAAAAAATAAATTTAGGACAATACACACAACAATAAATTAAGTCTAATTAAAAGTAGCAACATCATAAAATTAGCACCGATAACAATTAAACTTTGTCAGCAACATCACATAGTTTTTATGACTATGAGGAAAGCAAGCTAGTGTTTTAATTTTTTAATTCTTTTAGTGTATAGTGTATTTGTATTAGTGTTTATTTTTTATGTTAAAATTTAAATATAAAAAAATTGTATTAGTATATATCTATATATAGGAGCGCTTAAAAGGGTTGGCCTCGATTATTTTTCGACTTAAAAGGGCCAACCTTTTTAAGTTCAATTTAGCATTTTACACATCAAAAAAATGACCCAACCTTAAATTTTGTCAGGTTTAAAAAGGTCAATCGACAGCTTAGCTCTAATTAAGATAGTGTTTTAATTTTAATATTGACATGTTAGAGTGATAATTATATATGGCAGGCCATCCAGCTCTGATTACTCGGCATCGATCGTTTCCCATGACACATCAAACTGCAGAGAGGTGGTTGCATTGCATGCAACAAGCAATGGCCGGTGCTACAGAGATAGACGAAGAATCCAAAATAAAAATGATGAACTTTCTCAAGTCTATTCATTTTCTAAACCCATAATTCAAGTTTTGCTTTTCAGCAAATGATTTTCCAATAGGATTGTCATCAATAATGTCTTACAAGTGTTGCAGGCACACTGTTTATTTTTTGGTGGCCAAGGATGAGCTTAAGAATCAAAACCAAGACATGCCTTGCAGGTATGGAGTCGGAGAGCGACACCCATGCAAAAACTTTTAGCATGCATTTAATGATGTTGTTCTTTAAGCTATAATCTATCCTTGAATAGTTTTATTTATCAAGAACTCCTCGTAAACAATAATAGTAGACTCAATCATCAATATCATTGTCAATCCATATAAAATATTAAGCAAGTCTAGTAACAGTACAACTTATTAATCTTCAAAATTTCCCTATTGCAATGATACTATTAAAAAGGAATAAATATGTAAATTTACTATAAACTATTTTTTGATGAATGTTTGGTAGCCTATACTATAAGTTAGTTTGAAATAAATCATGAACTATTAAAAAAGGAGCGTCCAATACCTCCCATTAACTTTGAATGGACGAACATTCATTAACCAATTATTTTATTAATAAAATTTGCCAAGCCTGGTGTCAAGTCTCCCCCTCTTTCTTTCGATCCCATTTCATCACCTTGATGGTTAAAGCCATTCATTGGGGGCACTAAAGGAGAGAAGAAAACCGAAGATGAAGATGATGATTACTCAAAGGCTTTTGCTTCCTAGTCTCTATACAACAAATCCCAAGACGTATGATGACCCCTCTTCTTCATGAAAGCCCACTAAGTACACTCTTGAAAGCAATTACATTCAAGGGAAAAGCTCTTCCATGTCAGTTTCCAACTGTTAAGTTGCTCACGCCCTATGACTTTGTACATCAAAATTGCCCAATCGCCTACTTGTGCCACTTTAACAAAGTTTGCAGAGCAAATTGCACTTCCTTTAGTTCTTAGAATTAGCAAAGGTGCGAATCTTGTTGATAGAATTTTCTGACCTTTTCACATAGCTTTGTCTCATTACTTTTTAGAATTTTGATTCTCTGATTTAGCTTTCCTCTATTTAATGGAGTTTCCAGCTTGTTCACTCTGTTTTTGATTCTGGAGAGATGCTTCACTATCGACAAAGCCTTTGCCATTTCTAATGTGGGTTTTGGCTTAGTCTCTTCTTGACCCTTCACAACCCTGTTTTTTCTCTCTTTATAAATCAGATCAACCTTACCCTACTTCATCTCTAACTCTTCGACAATATAGCATGAAGGGGTTGGGTTTTTGATTTATCAGGCTGATATCTTTTGAGGTAGCCATACAAGTAGATGGAGAAGGAGGAGATAGGTGTGACAACGAATGATGTGAATAGATCTTCTTCATTGTCAGGTTACAATGGTTATCCATTATCAAATGCTTTTGAATTTCCTGAAGTGGAAGACAACACTTTTAAGTTTATGGAATTGCTGGGTCTCCAAGTCTATGGCCCTCTGCTTCATTTATCGTTACTGCAACAACCATCAACTCTCAACTCCTTTGTTTTGAAAGACCTAGCTTTACCACCAGTGATAGAGAGATGCCAGATGGATTAAAATTAGCCATATGTAACACCAATGGCGAAGCCAAGATCTTAGGTCAAGAGGGGTGAAATCATTTACATATTCATAATTTAAAAAAAATAATAAAAATAATTTAATAATTACATACCTTATAAATTTTCTCTATGTGGTTTCATGTTTTGGAATCATTGAACAATTAACTCATTATCAATACTTTCAAATACATATTTTTTAATATAAGTCACGAGATAATCGTTCATCTATGGATTGTTCATTCAATTGTGGAACTGATTTTTTTACAAATTTCGTAGCAAAGAAAGGCTCTTTCAACTATTATTATGGCAACATATAACACCATTGCTTATTTCAAGAAAAGATAAACCAATGAATAAATAATATATCTTTTAATTTCAACTAATTTTTCTTGAAATTTGATTTGAAATTTCAAAAGATGTGGGCTAAATTATTTTTTTCTTATGTTCTTAAAGGTTTAATGAATGTTAATTTTTTTATAAAATAATATTACTATTTGGGTATATTAAAATTGTGGGCTAAAATTTATTGGGCTTTTGAGTTAACAAAATTAATTCTAGATCTAAGTTAAAAAGTAATATAAAATGAGTTTAAAATGTAAAATATAAAAAGAAGGGTGCAAAATATAAATACTTATACCCTCATTTTCATATAAGTAATTTTTCCATTTAAGGTGCTTCCCTCAAATACATGTTGCTCGGCCACTATGTAACACCACATAAATAGAGCCCCTTTAGTTTGTCAAATAATAGACGTTTGTTCAAATTTAATGAGAAGTACTCAACACTCCCTTTTTGATAGGTCATAATTTATTTCGAACTAACTTATAGCACATGCTATTAGACACTTATTGAAAAAATAGTTAGTAACTAAATTTTCACATTTATCCATTAAAAAAATGCTTGGTATAGAATTGTTGCAAAATTGTTGGTTCTACGATGGATTTTCTGATAATAAAAAGAGTCTAATGTCCAAGGATTCTATGATGACAGAAATAATCTAATGTCTAAGAATGGAAATAAATCAAAAGCTTTTTAACTAGGGGTTTAAGACTTGATCTAGTTTATCTCAGCCTTTTTAAATTAAAGGCCAGGCGCAGCTCTTTAACTAGG